AGTAGGAAATATTTGTTACATAGACTAAATAAACAAGATAAAACCATTTTTTGAAATTTGTTTTCACATTTTGGTGTTCTAGCACTATCATACATTCTCTGTGTTGTGCACAGCCTATTTGTCAATACTTATATGAATATGAGCCTTCATTTTCTACCCAAACCATTGACTTAGTCAAAGGCCAATTTAATCATAAATCATGAGAGGAGGGTATTAGTAATGATGCTCCTCATATATATAATTTGCAAAAGATATAAGAGAAAAAAGGTAAAAGAAGAACAAGTACAACTTAAAGTAGTATTATTATGTGCTCCAGATTCTGGTATAAGTCTTATATTTATTACCTCTTCTAGACCAATGTTGGTAGAAAAATCTAGAGTAACCATTTAGGTTTCTTTACGACAATTTAGTCCTGCTATAGCATTTTGATTTTATGTAACAATATTACTAGTCCACAATTACTTCAAAATAAAACAAAGCCAAAAAAAAAGTAGCAAACAAAATTGATCTTTGATCTCATTTGAGAAGCATTGAGAGTTTGATTTAAAGTAAGAGATGATATATGTAGTAAAAGCATTAGGTAAGATGTCTGGTCCATAGAAAATGATCTATGGATCCAACACAATACCAATCAGAATTCTAGAAAGTTACTTTTTTTATATGAATAAACTAATTTTAAAGTTTGCACAGAAAAGAAAAAGAGCCAGAATAGCTAACACAACATTGAAAGAGATGAAAAAAAAAGTCCTTTTAAGTCTTTTGGGTATATATCTAGGAGAGGGATAAAGAAAGAAATCAAAGAAGACCTTAGAAGATGGAAAGACCTTGCTCTTGAATAGGCAGAATTAATATTATCAAAATAGTACTTGAATTGGTACTCTAAATTTATAGATATTAAGATAATGTTATACAGGCAAAAGAACAAAATTCAGTGGAACAGAAAAGACAAGAAATAAATCACACAAATACATTGTCAGGTCTTTGACTAAGGAAGAAAGGCAACAGAATAGAGAATGAATAATTTTGCTAGAATTTGATAGCTACATGCAAAAATATGAATCTAGGAACTGATCTTAAATCTTTCAGTAAGTAACTTAAAATGGATCACAGACATACATGTAAAATATAGAAATTTAAAACTTCTAGAAGATAACACAGGAGAAAATCTATGTGTCCTTGGATTTGGCATTAAGTTTTCAAGTGCATAAGAGAAAGCATGATCCATGAAACAAGTGACTGAGAAGTTGAACATCATTAAAAATGAAAAGTTTTTTTAATTGATTTTTTATATATGACAGCAGAATGCATTACAATTCATATTACACATATAGAACACATTTTTTCATACTCTGGTTGTATATAAAGTATATTCACACCAATTCGTGTCCTCATACATGTCCTTTGGATAATGATGTTCATCACATTCCACTGTCATTTCTAACACCCTGCGCCCTTCCCTTCCCCTCCCACCCCTCTTCCCTATCTAGAGTTTGTCTATTCCTCCCATGCTCCCTCTCCCTACCCCACTATAAATCAGACTGCTTATGTCAGAGAAAACATTAGGCATTTGTTTTTTTGGGATTGGCTAACTTCACTTAGCATTGTCTTCTCCAACTGCATCCATTTACCTGCAAATACCATGATTTTATTCTCTTTTATTGCTGAGTAATATTCCAGGTGTATATATGCCACATTTTTTTTAACCATTCATCTACTGAAGGGTATCTAGGTTGGTTCCACAGTTTAGCTACTGTGAATTGTGCTGCTATAAACGTTGATATGACTGTGTCCCTGTAGTATGCTATTTTTAAGTCCTTTGGGTATAGATCTAGGAGAGGGATTAAAGAAAGAAATCAAAGAAGACCTTAGAAGATGGAAAGACCTTGCTCTTGAATAGGCAGAATTAATATTATCAAAATGACCATACTACCAAAAGCACTATTCAGATTTAATGCAATTCTGATCAAAATCCCAATGGCATTCCTCATAGAAATAGAAAAAGCTATCATGAAATTCATCTGGAAAAATAAGAGAATAGCTAAAGCAATCTTTAGCTGGAAGAGTGAAGCAGGTGGCATTGCTATACCAGACTTTAAACAATACTATAGAGCAACAGTAACAAAAACAGAATGGTACTGGCACCAAAACAGACTGGTAGACCAATGGTACAGAATAGAGGACACAGAGACTATCCCACAAAATTACAATTATCTTATATTAGACAAAGGCACCAAAAACATACATTGGATAAAAGATAGCCTCTTCAAAAAATGGTGCTGGGAAAACTGAAAATCCATATTCAATAAAATGAAATTAAACCTCTTTCTCTCACCATGCACAAAACTCAACTCAAAGTGGGTCAAGGACCTAGGAATTAAACCAGAGACACTCTGTCTAATAGAAGAAAAACTAACCGTGTCTGATTAGGCCCCAACTTCCTTAATAAGACTCCTATAGCACAAGAATTAAAATCAAGTATCAATAAATGAGATGAATTCAAACTGAAAAGTTTCTTCTCAGCGAAAGAAATATTCTGTGAGGTGAACAGAGGGGTTATATCTTGGGAGCAAATTTTTACCCCTCATACATCAGATGGAGCACTAATCTCTAGGGTATATAAAGAACTCCAAAAACTAAACATCAAAACAACAAATAAGCCAATCAATAAATTGGCCAAGGACCTGAAGAGACACTTCTCAGAAGAGGTATACAATCAGTCAACAAATATATGAAAAAATGTTCATCACCTCTAGCAATTAGAGAAATGCAAATCAAAACTACTCTAAGATTTCATCTTACTTCTGTCAGAATGGCAGCTATTATGAAGACAAACAACAATAAGTGTTGGCAAGGATGTGGGGGAAAAGGCACACTGATACTTTGCTGGTGGGACTGCAAATTGGTGCAGTCAATATGTAAATCAGTATGGAGATTCCTTGGAAAACTGGGAATGGAACCATCATTTGAAAAGAAAAGTTTTGCTCAAGGAAAATAATGTTAAAAGAAGGAAAATAAAATTATGTTATAGACTGTGAGAAATATTTGCAGAACATGAAACTGATAAAAAAATGATATCCAAAATATACTAAAAAACTGTTAAAATTCAAGACCAAGAAAATATATAACCCAACTAAAAAATGGCTAAAACATTGGAAAGGGTACCTCATCACCAAAAAAATTATACAGTTGAAAGAGAAGCATATGAAAATATGGTCAACATCCCATAACCAGGGAGTTGAAAATTAAAACAATAATAGGATACCTCTATATAGATATGAGAATGTCCAAAATCAAACATGGAAAAAAAAACAAAGTAAAAATTTGTGCAGCAGAAACTTTCATTTGTTGCTGTCCACTAATGCAGAATGATTCATTTAACTTATTTATAATACAACTTGTCAATTTCCTATAAAGCTAAATGCAGTCTTGCAACATAATCCAGCAAAATAAATCTCAGGTATTTGTCTACATGATTTGAAAACACAACCATGCAAAAACCTGTATATAAATGTTTATAGCAGCTTCATTTGAAATGGTAAAAACAATGGAAGCAACCAAGATGTCTTTCCATATATGAATTAATAAACTAACTCTGGTACACCCATAAAATGGAATTATTTTTCAGTTATAAAAAGAACTGGATTATCAAACCATGAAGAATATAAAGAAACTAAATGCACATTTTTAAGTGACAGAGGCTTGTCTGAAAAAAGCTACATGCTGTATGATATCTATTATATGACAATCTGGAAAAAGGCAAAACTACAGAAAAAATAAAGATCAGTGGTTGCCAAAGGTTTAAGGGAAGGAATCAGGGGATTTCTAAGGCAGAGAAACTATTGCAAGTGAAATCGTGATGGTGAATGCAAGATATTTCGTGCATTTGTCAAAATCCATAGAATTGTACAATATAAAGAATGAATCCTGATATAAACTATAGGCTTTAGCTAGCAGTAAGGATAGTAGCTCATCAATCATAACAAATAAATCACAGCAAAACAAGACTTCAATAATAGGGAAATTTGTGAGAGGAAGAGAAGAAATATATGGGAACTCTCTGCTCAAATTTTCTATATGCCTAAATGGCCTTAAAAAAAGAAACTCTTTTAATTAAAAAATGGTGGCACAAGAAAAAATTTCAGGGTGATGGATATGTTCATTATTTTGGTTGTGGAAATGTTTCTTGAGTGTACATATTTCAAAAATATAAAAAATGTAGTCTTTATGTGCAGTTTATCATATGTCAATTACACTTCAATGAAGCTGATAAAAGAAGTGAATGTTTCTGTACAAAATACAAACATGATCCTGATGATTGTCTGTATAAAGCCCCAGGCTTTATAGTAGATTGAAAGAGAAATTGATGAGAAAATGGATTTTTTTGTGCTAAACAAAGGTCTGAAATTGATGGAAAATAATAATTGTCCTTGAATATGTGAAGGATTTTCAAGTAGATGGGTCATGGGTTTTATGCCTAACTACAAGAAATATACTTCAATACCACATTGTAAAACTCATAGGCACAACAAAACGTATTGAGTATTAGACCTTTTAAATCATTGCCAAAGATATGCAAAGATGAAATAAATTGTGACTGGTCTGAAGAGATTCTTGCTATTTCAAATGCTCAATCGTAGGCTAAATAACTATTTGTCGGGAGATATTGTAATTTATTTCATAAATAATGTAATCCAAAAGATTTAAGTGAAGAATAGTCAGCTAACATGGCAAAACAAGAACTAGAATCCTGAACAACATGGTTTCATTTTTTCAAAAATCAGACTCTTCATTAAACCACATCACCTCCAGGATAAAAGCACAAAGATGATTTAGATAGTGAGAGCTTTATAAGAGGAGTTTTAAGGTACCTTCCCAGAAATCACAAATTTCTTAAAGGAACGGGGGAAAATAAAATTTACAGTGAATATTACATGAGTTAAAGATGAGGATGTCAATAGCATCTAAGTATCTGTTAATTTCAGTTTCACTTCTACACTTACTATGAGTCCTGGTTCTGGAATTGGAGCAGGCGTTGCAAACTTCTTTTCTAACTTCTTCTTCTCTTTCCTTAGGCTTTTCATATTCCGAATACGTTTATTTGCAGACTTTAGGAAAATTAAAAGAAAAAATACTGCTCATTATGAATATAAACATGCTGATTCTATTTTTGGAATATCAATATCATTTGTGTCATTACAAATGATAAATCCACACATATGACTTATATAACTAATAGAAGTAGAAAAGCCCCTTTCTTTTAAATGTATGGTTCAGAGGTAAACAAAAACATATCGAAGCATCAGCAGAGCTTTCAAAAGAGACTATTCACTCCCAATTCCCACTTCATGCCTGTGCACATTTTTATTAACCCCAATTTAGGATATATGTGTTCAATTGTATTTAAAAAATAATGTTCATTAAAATATCAGAGGGATTTATGTTATAGAAATAAGAAAACAAGGGGCTGCAGTTGTGGCTCAGTGGTAGAGTGCTCACCTAGCATATGCAAGGCCCTGGATTCGATCCTCAGCACCACATAAAAATAAAAATAAATAAATAAAAGTGTTGTGTACAATTATGACTAAATATATATTATATATATATCATATATATGCATACACATATATATGTACGCATATATATGTGTATATATGTATGCTATATATGTGTATATTTCTTAATATATATGATATATATTAATATGATATATATTAAGAAATTAGTAAACAAGTACACTCTTTATTCCTCTTAAATACTGCATTTCACATGGCTTTTTTATGTCACCATTGTAGGTCATCTCTAAGTAGCAGCGACATAGACATAGAGGGCATTAAACTGGAATGTTTTGAAGATAAATTAAACATAGTATTAGATCATGAGGAAATGAGAACTTGTGTAACCACAGCCAGTGGGATTGTGAATTAGTATAATTTTTTTGTAACCAATGTGCCATTATTTTAAAACAATGACAGATTTCCTTTCCGTATCATCCAGCCATTTCAATCCTGCATTAAATAAGCAAGTGAATGAAGTTTTTGTCCAAAGGAAAAAAAGACATGCACTCAAATGTTCACAGTAGTACTGTCCATTATAGGAGCTGGCTTTTTAACATCCAGGAGGAGATGCCTCACAAGAGGAAGAAAGTTGTGATATTTTCTTATATGAAATTTTAAACAACTGAAATGAAAGGCATGATGGCTACATACTGCAATATAGACTTACCTTAGGGCACAATGTGGAGAAGAGACTCAGACATTGAATTTTATTTGATTCTGTATTTACAAAATTTAAAACCAAGAAGAAGCAACACTACACACATGGGACAGATTGTTAAAAGGAAGAAATAGATAAAAATAAAATTCAAGACAGAGATGCAGGTGAGCAATATAGAGAGGCAGTTCCTAGAGAGACACAAGGATAATTATACCATAAGTTAAAGGTATGTTTTATTAATCTATTTTATCAATTATATATGCTACCTACCTTTGACCTATGTATCAAACATTACATTAAAAATTACACTATAAGCCATTTAGATTACCTTAGTTGAAACCGTTTCAATAATAATCTAAAGATTGCAGAGTCTGAAGAAAGGTATTGCCTTAGCGTCTAGTTAATACAAATCCTACTATGTTATGGATCACCCCACGTAAAGGATTATGCTAAAAGCAGCATTGAAACAACCATAATTTTAGTTTATGTAATCATTACCTGCCTGGCTGTGACATCTGAAGGGTGATGCTTTCTTGGTCCTTCCTGTGTAATATGTAAAATTAAAACACACAGAAGCCCCCAAAAGTCAGGAAAAAGCAGAGAAATCAGTTATCACAACAGGAAGCCTCTGCCACTAGGTTTTATTTATGTAGTATATGAATATTACCTCCACCACAAGGGGCAAAAGAATAAAAACAATCTAAGGTAAAAATAAGAGTAGGGAGGATGGAGGTGGTATTATGAGAAAAAGAACCAGCTAGGAACTATATCACAGGGCACAGGTAGAGTACTGAGATTTATTTTGGAGGAGAAACATTTTCAAAAATCATGTTTCTGCTGCTACCCGATTTCAGTGGTGCCACACTGCTCTTGGCTGAGGATTCTAAAGCCAGGCAAAGCTAGGGTGATTGAAGTGGTGCCACCTAGGGAGCTCGCTGTTGGTTTCTGAAGTTGCCCCTCCTCCCGCTAATTTCTGAATCCTCCCTTAAAAACCCCTCCCACTTTGATCCAATTTTTAAACCAGAAGTTCCCAAAGTAATCTACTCTGCATTTCAATACTGAGACCTTCATTTAGGGCCTGTTTCTGTCATTCCCACTCCACCTCCCAGGGCGAGTCAGTGGCTCAGTCAGCAGTCCACGGAACTGGGCTGACCCCTAGCAGGGGCTAGGTGGTGCTTCTCCGCTTCCTTCCAGGTGGGGCCAACAAACCTGGATTTAGTTTATCTTTCACCCAAGGTTTTCCAATGTCTAATCAAGTGTGAGGGCTGGAAGCGCCAATGGTCCCGGTAGACCCCGGCTTGCATGGTGGCCAAAGGGGCTCAAGGGCTTCAAAAGACTCACAGGGAAGACTTGGGCAGGATCATCTTCCGTACCACGCAGACACATGTTACAGAGCCATAGGGCACCTGGGTGTCCAGTACCTAACCCGACCCTAGAAAATGTAGGTCCACTCTTGGCCCTCAAGACCAGCCCCACCTGGTTCCATCACAATTCTCTTTATTGTGGCCATGTTAGCCCCGCCCTTTCCCTCTGTCCCAATGCCAGGAAGGCAAGGCCCCTTGATGTCCATGGAGTGTCTCAGAAGGATGAATGCCGGCTTACTGTAATTCTTTATATTCTAGCTCCCCTGCTCAGAAAATCACACAGTGCCAGTTTGTCATCTTTTTTAGTCCTCTTATGTTTCTTGTCTGTTGCGCCTCCTTCCTTTCCTAAGATGTCTGGCTTAGATTCCTTTATTACTTCAATCTATCTGTTATCTATGGATGCTTTGTCTTCCATCACAGCTTCTAATTGGACCAACTCAAGTGCCTGCCTTCTTCCTCCCTGCCTGCCTATACCAGGCTGAAGAGGGGACTTGAAGATGGCTGGCTGCTCTACTTCTCCTTGATCTCTAACAAACTAGGCCCTCAGCACTGCTTACAACTTCTTTCAGGTTGCATCAGCTCTTTCTTTTTTGTGTTCTGCTACATTCTCCTCAAACTGTCTTTCCTCTGTTACATATCTGAAACCAGTCTCTCTCTGTCACTTTTAGCAGAAGTAAAAAAAAAAAAAAAAAAAAAACAATCTGACAATGGACCACATAGAGCTTATTATGCTCATCAGTGTTGGATAAATTTATACATATTAACTAATCAGTTCCCTAGATAAGCCAAGGGGATAATTGTATGATTATCACCTGGGAAATGAGCCACTGGCATGTTTAGTAAGTAGGGCCAAGGTTATCTGCTTAGCAAGAAGGTGAGCTAGGATTTAAATCCAGAAACTTCCTCCAAAGCATTCACTCTGAATCACACACAGTACTATGCTAGCAACTGCTCCTAAATCCCAGAATGGACCTACTTCAATTCCTTCAATTCCCCTCCTCTTGTCTCAAATCCCTCCATTTAAGTTCTCATGTCATTTCCCTCCCAGGAGTTTCCTTCAAAGCTCTCACTGTTCCTTCTTCTTATTAGCCTCTCTTTTTTGGCCTGTTTCTAAACATTTAAATACTTTCTGCTCAAAGTTCTTCTTTAAACTGATAAAAGAAAACACTTTCAACAGCAATTAATTGCATCTGTTGCTCATGCCTTCTGTTCAAAGAAAATATTCATGGGAATTGCCTGTACCTCCTATCTCCTCTTCTTTAGCTTAATAATATGTGACTCTCTGCAACCTGTTTTAACTCTCAATATTCTGCTGGAATTTCTCTCAAAAAGATCATTAAGAATCTTTCTGCTGAATTCAATGGACGATTCTTACCATATGTCTTTTGCACAGTGTTAGATATTGCTGAGAATTTTCTTGGATGATTCAGGCTTAGAAAAATTAAATAATCTTGCCTGAGTACAGTGTTTGACCACTCCCTTTATGAAACTCCCCTGTGTGGGAGCAGTAAGGCTTAGAAAAATTTTATAACCTGGCCAATGTTCACAAATCAGAAATTGGTCTTAAAATTTTTCTAACATATCACATTGTCTGAAGAATGTATGTTTCAGATGATTACTATTGCATAACTTGCTAGATCTATGAATGTAAAATGAATCAAATTATTTCACAATAATTTAAACAACTTAGGAACAACTTAGGTAAACCAGTGCAATGTGATCCTCAATAGTGACACATGTCTTGCAGACATTTAGAAGCTGCTAGTTCTTTCTGAAGATGAGTCCAAGAAGTCTTGATAGTGGAGTGGTCAGTTTGCCCTGCAGACTATGAAAGAACATTCCTGGCACAAGAAGCAGCATACCCAGATGACAGGGAGTATGGTTCAGAATCATGGGTTTGTTGAATAGGTAACCACTGCTCATCACTTTACCCTCATCACTTCTCATTGCCTTTCTTCCTCCCTTTCTTTGTACAAAAAAAAAAAGAAAGAAAGAAAGAAACTAAGGTGGCTCAACTGAAATAAAACAATGTTTAGTTGGAATCTGGCACCTGCAGGCAGCCATAAGATAATATTTCAGAATCATGTCTCAAACTCATTAGGTATCATGCAGTGGCACCCACAAAAGTCCGAGTCCCATCTCAACCACTTGAAAACTTTAGTGAACCTGGCCAATTAATTATCTTGCATGAGTTCCAAATACTTTTTCCACAGTGGAAATGTTAAAATTTAATAACACAGGGCTGTTAATAATAATAATAACCTATGTTGTTAAAAACAATAGAGATAATGTAAGTAAGGAGTTGGATCTAGTTCCTGCTTGCTAACAGTTATTCAATAATAATAGTTGTAATTATATTTTACTGTCATTACATTATAAAATCTTTGGAATGGAAAGGACTTCATGTGTCATCCACCCTGATATTCCACTTGAAACTTTGGATTCTCTCAGCAAAATTTTAACTTAATGGCTGTCCAGTTTATGTTCTTCTACTTAATCAATGGATAGGAAATTCACTCCAGCCTGTTCAATTTTTTGACACTTTTGATTAATGAAACCTACTAAGCCATATTGATATAAAATATGCTATTCTGTTACTTCCATCCACTAGTACTAATTATATCCTCAAAGTCCTCTCAAGTAAACTCATCCTCTCCTACATGATGCTAAGCCTGGAAGAAGAAGCTAGTATTATCATGATATAGATGTTTGGAGGCAGAGCCTCATAAGTTAGGAATCAGACCACTAACATACCAAGCTGAGCTGGTGAAGCTTGGGGAAATCTTTCAGAACTGAGAGGCTTCTTACAAGGGGAAACTATCTGGCATATGCAGGCATGATAGGAGGAGCAATAAAACCAATTCTGGTAGTGTGGAAAGTCCTTGGAAACTGGAAACAACTGTTGCTGGAGACACTTGCTAACACCAGGCAAAGTGTTATTGCTGGGGTACTACACTAGGGGTGGGGGGAAAAGGATCGATCAAGATCCTCTTGCCTCCACCTGTCTTCTAAGCTCCCTACAGTGTCCTTTATTGGATTACCTTACCAGGACTTCAGCTCACTAAATTTTCAGCTCTTACTTTTCTGAAGAGAAATAAGCTATGCATAGCCTGAGCCATGGATTTACAAAGACTATAGAAAAATAGACTTAGAGATAAAAGACAACACCTTAATTGTCATACCAACCAACCATCATGCCCTAAGCTACATGCATTCTTTCACAAATTTTGGAAAATCATTTCAAGTCTCCCCTATTCAAGTTGATAAGCTTTACCTCACTATAGTTTACCAGTTTCCTGAGCATGGAGATCTCAAAATTGTGCACTGACCATTTTTAGATATAAAATGTGGTTTATGATTCTGTTTCTCTCAACACCTCTTCTGTGTCTGTATAATCTCTGTCTATGCTTCCTTATTATAAAGAAAGTTGTAATGGCATTCAGGCCCATCAAGATAACCCAAATAATCACCTCATCTTAAAATCACCTCACCTTAAAATCCTTAACTTTTAATCACATCTGCAAAAGAGCTCTTTTCCAAATAAGGTAAAAATAAGCACCAGGGATTAGGATGTGAACATACATTTGGAAATCATCATTCAGTTATCTGAAAACTGCCTTTTAAAACTGAATTACCAGTACCATGCTGTTTTTGTTACTATTGCTCTGTAGTATAGTTTGAAGTCTGGTATCGCTATACCGCCTGATTCACACTTCCTGCTTAGCATTGTTTTTGCTATTCTGGGTCGTTTATTTTTCCATATGAATTTCATGATTGCTTTCTCTATTTCTACAAGAAATGCCATTGGGATTTTGATTGGCATTGCATTAAACCTATAGAGAACTTTTGGTAATATCGCCATTTTGATGATGTTAGTTCTGCCTATCCATGAACAGGGTATATTTTTCCATCTTCTAAGATCTTCTTCTATTTCTCTCTTTAGGGTTCTGTAGTTTTCATTGTATAAGTCTTTCACCTCTTTTGTTAGGTTGATTCCCAAGTATTTTATTTTTTTTGAAGATATTGTGAATGGAGTGGTTGTCCTCATTTCCATTTCAGAGGATTTGTCGCTGATATACAGGAATGCCTTTGATTTATGCGTGTTGATTTTATATCCTGCCACTTTGCTGAATTCATTTATTAGCTCTAATAGTTTCTTTGTAGAGCCTTTTGGGTCTGCTAGGTATAGAATCATATCATCTGCAAATAGTGATAATTTAAGTTCTTCTTTTCCTATTTTGATGCCTTTAATTTCTTTCGTCTGTCTAATTGCTCTGGCCAGTGTTTCGAGAACTATGTTGAACATAAGTGGTGAGAGAGGGCATCCCTGTCTTGTTCCAGATTTTAGAGGGAATGCCTTCAATTTTTCTCCATTCAGAATCATGCTAGCCTGAGACTTAGCATAGATTGCTTTTACAATATTGAGGTATGTTCCTGTTATCCCTAGTTTTTCTAGAGTTTTGAACATAAAGGGATGCTGTACTTTGTCGAATGCTTTTTCCGCATCTATCGAGATGATCATATGGTTCTTATTTTTAAGTCTATTGATGTGGTGAATAACATTTATTGATTTCC